AAATGCAAGAAATGTATATATCGATTGGTTTAACTCTTCCAAAGTGAGGAGACTGAAAATTCGGGAAAATGAATTGCTTTCTGTGATGCTGGAGGCCGCTGAAGACAAGCGCAATTCGCCATCCTGCTGCGCGGCGTTTTCTCTAGTTGCATCACCATTTTGATTAAAGACCCGAATTTCATGTAGACTACGGCCTTGTAGACGTTATGGCTACTTTTTGGTTATACATTGTCTACTGTCGCCATATGAGACCTAAAATACCGCTATTTACAGATGCGACGTCGCAGGCGACTCACCATTATAATTATTATTCTGATTATGTATTATGATTTTCTTTTCACGCACCCGTTTGAAGGAGCAGTAAATCGACTTCAAAGTACTGTCGATTAGATTCTCCAGATGACGCGACCGGTTCCTCGCGCGGATTCCCTGATTCTCTACTTAGGCGGAGTATCGTGGGTGCTCCATTTCAGGCCGATTCTCCAGCGGCGCAAAGTATGAATGCGGCCCGATGGCTCGCAACAATGTAGCAACTCTTACATGATACATCCTTGCATAATTATTGGGCTTTAGTGTTCGTATGGAATTCGAATTCGCTCATTGTCAATTTCTCATGAGACAGTCGTTGTTACCGTGCGCTCGTTGGTCGCATTTCGCGAATGTTCTCTTCAATTTCAGCGGCATGGGTGAGGAAGATGCTGCTGTAGCTGCAGCGCCTCCGGCTCAGACACATGTCTCCGCTCCTCAAACTCATGTCTCCACTCCAGGTAAATTTCGCTCTTTCCTTCATGTACTGCCGGTGAGGGCATACACGGAATAGAAATATTCGATGCAGGAGTCTTCTCCTGTGACTGGTTCTGAACTTTGAGCTGATGGTGTTACCTCCTTTCAAGTCTTTTGTTTGTTCTTTGCTTGACAATCAGTCATCGCTCTGAATAGAGGGTTATTGTTCTGGAGGAAAGGGAAGGGGACATTTTCGGAATCGTTGCTACAGAAACTAGCGGGAAACTTTGCTTCCGAGGTCGTAAACTGCGTAGTCACCCTTTGTGCTTACCATGACTTCCTCCTATGGTTCATCATTTACGAGCACCTGAACCACTTTCCAAAAATAAGTAACTCGAAAATCAAAACAAGGCCGAAAATGCTCTATCCACTTGGAAACTATTCCATTTTGAATGGATTCCGAAAACTTTTTTAGCGTTGGTGGCACTTAGCCACTGGCTTCACTTCACACTCACTGGCATTTCACTTTCAGTTCTGAATTCAAATTCAAATTTTGGCACTATTTACCCTTTACTGCCCCAACCATCCAGAATTGTAGTTTCTGACCGACTTTTTTCTCCGTGGACAGATTTGGCTCAAATGTTGTCTCCTGGGGTATTTTGACCTCCTGAATACGAATATGACATTCGCTTAGCCCGAAACCTCTTGGCGCCCGCGCCACACGCGCCGGTGATCTGGGGTATTTTGGCGCCAGCACCTGTAGCGCGGGCGGCAGGAGGTTTCAGGCCGAGCGGATGTGATATTCGTGTTCAGGAGGTCAGACTACCCCTGAGAACAAGTTTTCAGCGAATTTGGTGATTTAAGGTATTTTGGCGCGGGCGCCAGGTTTCGTGCCTAGCGGATGTGATATTCATGTTCAGGAGGTCAAACTACCCCAGGGTACAAATTTTCAGCCAATTCTGCCAAGGCAGAAAAAAGTCAGGCCTGTTTTCGGAAGATTGGGGCATTCAGTAAAGGGTAAATAGTGCCCAAATTTTTAATCAAATTCTACCTGAATTTGGAATGATGGGGATATCAAACGATAAGTTCAACAACAAAATGTTAAACTTATCTTTTGATACACAGTGACTCTACATCCTACACTTATGGGTAAAAGGGTCTGGGTTGGAGTCCTAGTTGTATTTGAACGTTTTGCCGGTGAAGCAGCGTTCTTGTGGTAACACACGCATAGAATGTTTCAAAGAAAATGATGAAGAAGTGAATGTTCAATTACTTCTGCCAAACGAGGTTGTTAGATGAAACCTTTTATTGGCCCAACGTTTCGACCTTCTCGTCTTCTTCAGAGGCCTGAAAATGGCTCGAAACTTTGATTGCCTACCCGAACCCAAACAAATTAAAGCTTCGAGCCATTTTCAGGCCTCTGAAGAAGACGAGAAGGTCGAAACGTTAGGCCAATAAAAGGTTTCATTTAACAACCTCGTTTGGCAGAAGAACTGAACATTCGACATGCCGAGGTTACAAGAAGGGACAACGTGGAGATGATGAAGAATGGTTGAGGGAAAAGCTTGATGTAGTCCTCCTCTCTGAAAACTGGTTTCTGTTGGGCTTCCTCTACTTCTCAACAGGGGTTTTTTTCACAGAGGGATTTCTATGAGTCATAAACGAAACGTTCTTACAGTTGGCACGATAAATCCCCCAAGACGACTAGGATCAATACTCCTGGCAGGATAGAATTCCGCGACCCTGGGCAGGCGCTGCATAGCGGTTTCCCCGAGGAAGGTGCCCTTATAAGGGCCCTATCAAGCCACAACATTACGTCCCAAACGCCCACCACGCCCGCCCGCACAAATGGACGACCGTTCCTGACTCGTATTCATTCATTTGCTAAGCAAATTATGAAGCGAAGGGATTGGTATGAAGCGGCCGTGATGCTGCATGCATATATGGGTACACATATGCAGCCGTATCTTCGGTAGCGGTGATTGGCAAGATGCCGGGAAACTCGTCCGAAATCGATTTTCAAGTCACTGAGAACGGAGGCTTTTTCTTCGCAGGATTTTGACCGTTTCACTCCGTTCTTTCGCCAATTCCCCACTATACAGCGCCCTACTAGCATTTTAGGCTAAGTAGGAAATCATCGTGCCAACTGCCTTTAAGGATATTCCCATAGTCACTAATTATCCATCCCTCCCGTAGGAATGTAGCGAAAGGTCCCTAGCCTCACAACTTGTTTGGAATATTTTACTTTGGTGATTGTGACTTGTTTGCTGAAAAAAAGCCTTTTCTCAATTTAGAAGGAACAGCAGTGCGGGTCGTCGATCCTGTCGATCGCTATGCTGCTCTTATTGTCAGGGTAGGTTTTGGAATCGCTCTATGTATCCGTCCATTTTCTTATCCGGTAATGATCGTATTTTGCTTTCTTCAGTCAGTTAGCGTATTGTACCTTTCGAGAGTGTCAAATAGAAGCGTTTATTTTTGGCTTGTTTCCTGTCTCCGAAGAGGATGACTGCGTCGGCACGTTAGGCCGAAAATAAACAGTTCCAAACAAAAACCTCGAAATATACAACACTTTCAGCGGCGATAACAAGTTGGGAGGGGGAGGGGGCACTCGCCAGCTCCGTATACTTTCCTTCGATGAAGGCGGATTAATGGAAACTATCTCTTCTCTACGAAACCGTCTATTGGCGTCTCTGGTCGTCTGCGCTTCAGAGCTAAGCCTTTCTGAGGAAGGGGTACAAAGGCGGCCGAATGGGGCACCCCCTTCTCCCAACTACATTAGGCCATTTCAGCTAACTTGAGAAACCTGATGCAGCTTTCGAATGAGATTTGATGGAATGGAGTCTTTTCTCATTTCAGGGCACGATTGTGGGAATGGGACTGGCTGGTGTGGCGCTGTTTCTACGGAATTCCAGACTGGTATGTTCTAACAAATGGTACTATGAATTGTCATAAGGCATTAATATGATTTTCTTGGGAATTATGAGGCGTTTTTCTGAAGTTATCCTTAACTGCTTACAGTCGTCGCGTTTATCAGATTTCTTCATAAAAAGTACTATTGACAGTACAGTACAGTGTTGTTTTGTTTATTTACCGCTGTTTTTGCCGATGTTCCCAATGAGAATTCCATCACGTGGCAGTTGACGGAAGGGTAGGATCATCGCGCCATGTGCCGTCCCACTAGTAGTCGTACATAATCTTCCAATCTGGACCTCGTGCTTCGTGGTAGCGTGCAGCACACCAACGGCATCACTAATTAGCTTCTCTGGTATGATTACAGTAGCTTATCTGTTGCCGATATCGGTTAATAGGCTTACCACGTTGCCTGGTTGATAGTAAGCTCTGATATACCATCGCAAGAAGGCAGTACGTGACTTCTATGGTTTTGGAACCCTTTCAAACCCGGAAATCGCAGTGTCTCTGTTAGGTCCCCTTCTGAGGCTATGCGTTCGCTCTCAACTCAGCGTCGATATGATGGAATTATGCTTTATTTGTTTTTATTTAAGCGCTTATTACTTCATCAAGACATTACTGAGAAAGTTTGAAAGAAATGTAATTTAGTTTGCAAGGTTCGAGCACGTTGCCCAAATCCCAAAGGAATTCATTCGAAAGGAGCTTCAGCTGAAAGGAACTGTTCGTGAGGTGAGTTAGCTGAGTCGCTCAGAGTATTTAGATAGGTACCATTCAACTATTACTACACGAAAACTCAAAGATTTTCGCTGAAAATTTGCCCACGGCAATGCGATGCCCTTATCACGGAACTCACATTAGTTTTTGGCACCACCACCCTTCTCGCCAAATTCAGTGTGATCCTATCAGGGGACCAAATAGCTCTAGTATGATACATACTAGAGCTATTTGGTCCCCTGATCACCGACATCGCTTGTTTCTGGCGCCGGCATCGTTTGGCACGAATATGGCGCCACCAGTTTCCCCGCCAAGATCGGTGTAATCTTGCGTACTTTGTTTTAGTTTTGATAACTGCTGTTTAACGCCGCAGTGCGCGCTCCGTAAGTTATCACAAGAATGCTGAGATATTGGCAAAAGTCGGACCCGGGACGGGACTTGAACCCGCATCTCCCCGGGCGGTTGCGTTATCCATTACGCTTCCAAGAAAACTACAAGAAAACTGAGAAATCTCCTGTTAAAGTATTTCGATGCTCAGCGTGATGGAAAAATTTCATGGATAGCAGTCATCCTAATAGGCATTTCTAAGGCACAGGAACTAAAAAACCAGACGCAGAAGAAATTCAGTTAAACGAATTCACAAAAAAACGGGGTTAACATGAACAAATTGGTTCGCATACCTTCTCACTCATTAACAGTCGGTTAATCAGTCTTGAGTACGCCGGAATCGACTGGAGCGCCTTCAAATGGCGCGGCGATTCTGGTGGTGGAACCCGAGCATAGCCGCGTCTCACCACTTCGATGTTCAAATTCGTTTGTGAGAATGCGCTCTGCAATACCACCTTTAGTATCGAACTGAAATTTTTTCTTGATTCACTATAAATATCAGAAGCAAGGAAAGATAAACGAAAGGAGTTCTCACAAGAGTGCTGAGTTGTGAGCAAAAGTCGTGCCCCAGGCGGGAGTCGAACCCGCACCTCACGCTTTCCGGGCGAGTGCGCTATCCGTTACGCCACCAGGGCCGCTTTTACTCTCTCAGCTCAACGGCTTTTGAGCGGCGTAAAATAGCAGTTATCATAATATAAAACTTCAAAAATTCTAAAGCCTTAGGCCTCGCGGTTCATTGCGATATCTAATGATTACGGCGACCGGCTCACAAGTTGAACGTTGGGGCTGATGCGACTTACGACATAAAGGCGTTAAGCTGAAGAGGGTAAAAGCGGCCCTGGTGGCGTAACGGAAGCGCACTCGCCCGGAAAGCGTGAGGTCGGTTCGACTCCCGCCTGGGGCACGACTTTTGCTCACAACTCAGCACTCTTGTATATACTTCCAGGAACGCGAAAACTTCGGCATAAAATAAAGCAATTATCATGATATAAGAAAGCCCAAACCTTTTTGACAGTAACATCCGCATCAACAGCGTCAGTGGAATTCTCGCTCCCCTGTAAGGTCAAAACCTATTTGAGCCTTTGCAGAAAGAAAAAAAAAATGAAGTGAAAGAAAGTAACAAACGGTTAGCCCTCGACATTTGAGTCGCGGACGCGCGCGAACTAGCAGACTAATTCCTCGCTGGTCTTGAAGCAGAACGGCATTGCCAGGTTAAATTGACTGGATCGGATGACGCAAAAGTGGCGGACATTGCCGTTTCAGGCCTCTGCTCGGATTGTGTGAGCTATGCTGGCTAGCAAGGAAGTTTGAAACCAAACCCTTTTATAACGGTGAAAACAATTGGGCTTGTTCTTCAGACGCAAATCCTTTGATATGAACTGTTGTCCAGCTTCAGACATGTCGACGCCGGCAGACGAATATTGAGAAGACCCTTAAGATTATCAGTACTGGTAAGAGTACCTCAAATGTAGGCAAGGATGATTCTCGTGATAAACAAGAAATATAACTGGTCATTGGTCGAAAAATAGTGCAACAACAAGATACCTTCGGCGGTCTTCTTCTGCCCAGAAAAGATGGAAGTTTGATTATAGGAGAATGTTCCACACGCAGCTCACCCGTTGGCAATATCTTAAAAATGTGAATAAAGGAAGAAAATGGCTTAAATTTTTTAATGGCTTGATTAAACTCTTTAAAATTCGCTAATTGTAAGTAACCTTGTTGAACCAGGTCTGCAGCTCAACTCGTTACTCGCTAACACAAGACATGGCCGTACGTTCATCAGGCCCGTACACAATGCTAAGGAAATTTTTAACAACGTACACCTTTTTCACTTTTGATTTTGGAATACTGGACAACACTTCGGGGCGCCAGTTCTTGCGTAAGATGCGGCTTGTGTGCCGCTACGAACTTGCCGGAGTACAGTTAACCTCACACCTGGTTCCATTATTCGTTGGGGACGTGGCACCTTATTGAGTTTTGGTGATTATGATTAAAGTGTGACATCTATGAGTATCTTTCAGTCCTAGACTCTTCCTGTGCAGTAGCCTCGTGGGCGTTTTCGAGGAAGGAAGCGGTCATCGACCGAAAACCTCTAATTTACATACGCATAAAGTACTCCCATGGTTTCTCCACATTCGCGTAATTCACATAAGCATGAAGGGATCAAACGCATTACGAAGTAAAAAAATAAGGGAAGCAAGTACAATCTTAGTAAACTAATTCTTCCAAGCATAACAGTTGTCCCTCCACAGAGGTCCCCCTTGAAAAAAGTTACATAAAATGTAGTAAACCATAGAGTGATGAGTGAGTATACATTCAGTACTCCCAACCCAAGGATGCTCCCACTGTTTCTCCACGCTCCATATTGTTTGGGCTCTGAGCGTGGCAAAACATCCGATTTATTCCAGCCGCACGCTTTCGCCTCTCGCCGAACATACTATATCTGGCACTCGTCAAATTGCTGGTCCAGGAAGTGAGTCTAGCAGAACGGTAGTAAAAAACCACAGCAACGTTACAGGACATGTTTACCGTTGCCAAGAAGAGATATACCGTTTCCGTGTGATGGTGACCAGTCCCCTCGGCAGACTTGCAGGGCTTCTCATTGTTTGCGCCCCTGACTTTCGTAACTCGAAAATTTTTGTCGAGGTTATGTCATTTGCTGTATCATGAAGAGCTCTCTTATTCCAGTCTCCTCCACAAAAATAAGTAGCTGCAATCAATCATGGACTATGGCGCAATCGCAGTATGTACACGTATTATCACATAATCGCTATCTTTTCACATATATTAATAGAATAACACATAGAGTCCGCTATCGTGGCCCTTTGTGCTTTGACCTGTTCGGGAATGGCGACGAAGGGGAAGTTATCTAAAAATCTGTATCCCCTGCGCTCAAATATAGACGCATCTTCCACGGAAGTCTCTCCTCGTCATTGAATAAAACTGGGCGTAAGGTTACTGTAGCCCCGCAGTGTACGCAATGGCACACAGCCGCATCTGTACGAAAGAATGGCGCCCACTTCGGGAGTGAGGCTTTCTACACCACGACACGGTGATAATTAGCTATTTAGTCAAGCATCTTGTGAATCGTGCGATTTGTGAATCGCACGATTTCGTCAGGCAGTGCTCCACCGCTAATCCATTGGACGGCTGCAGGCGACATATTGAATCTTTTTCTAACGACTTTCGCGTTAGTTCAATTATTGGTGGTGGAGCGCGGCTTGTCGTAGTGGCGCGATTGCACCGCTCCAGTCGCACAGCATGAAAGCGGCCTGACTGAGAGGAAAGTAGTTAATATGCAGGTAGACCGACTCCTTTGTACAAGAATGGTTTCCGCATCATGCCAAAAAAGGCTTTCAAGCGTCCCACGTCAATGACGTCATCAGACATTATCACATCGTCGCCATCGTTATTTCTCCCAGAGCAGAGCACTAACATTACCGTGTGGGATTGCAGTTCCACAAAGTTCCAGAGGAGTCCCAGTGGACTAGCGTCTACAAACGAGTATGAATAATATTAGATACAAGAGCAACATGAAAGCGGGATGGAAACCTCGAGAACGCATAATTTGTTATGCCAACCTACCTAGCCTGTGGGACCTTAAAGAACATGAACTAAGCAGTGTCACTTAACAAGCACGATTTCTCATAAAACGCTCGTAACACATGGGAATCATGGAAGTACCTGGGGTGGGGTCTATAGAAAGCGGCCATTTGTTAAGCTGTTTTTGAAAGGAAACTGCCATAGCGGAACGTACTATAAAGTTTACTTGCGTGTATGTGTATGCTCTAAGATTTACTACGCGTACCCATAGAGAGCAGTGCTAATACAGCGAGGATTGCGAAAAAAGGCAGGAACCTCGAATGAAGCAGGATCTGCTATTTTCCAATACAACACCCACTGAGCTTTGTACGTCAATATAAACTCCCGTAGCGCAATACTACGGCGCAGTTGGCTCCAGCCTACTCTAGAAATGCACCCAAGAACAACAAAGAACTCAGCGGGTAAGTGGTGAGAGAACGGCACCGAGTCTGACAGAATGTGATAAGGAGACCTGGAAATTAAATAGTGAATGTGAGATAATCACATTGCCAAGGCATTCAATACCATGACCTTGCACGCACTGAACTTTGATGCTGTTCACAGAACTGGAGCTAATATCATAGAGATAACCAAAAAACGAAAAACGAGGTAGCGAAGGGGTTTCATAGCCCATTTCGATTGTGGTAGAAAAAAAAAAAAAATAGGCATCACAGAATAAAGGGATGCGACTAGCCTGAAAAGGAGTACAAGAGCATCTTTGAAAGACAAATGAAGACACTTCATGAGAGGAAACAGGACTGAGCGTAAGAACCTGAATTATATCAGAAGGGTTACGTTTCCGAACCATCTTCGAGGAGAATGTGCTGCTCATTCGTCTTTCTGGAACTAGAACAGTTTTGCAGTTCTCAGGTGAAACTTGTTTGTAGGGGCAGCACGACCTCCTGAACACGATTATTGCACCTATTTAGCCTGGAATGCGTACGTCCGCGCCCAAGTATCTTGAATCAATAACTGGCTTGAAGCCTATCCAAGGAAATAGTTTGACCTCTTGGACGTGAATATCACATCTGCATTGGTTGCCAATGGAGTTAGGGATGGAGGAAGGAGCGTCACGTGAAATTGCAGCCTGCTGCGCTTCAAGACCCTCTCCCTGCCCAAAATAGTGACCCCCTCCCTCTGCTGAGGCTGAGCCTAAGCAAAAAAAAGGAACCATTGTCGCAGGCAACGAGAATAAGGGTACGTCTGTGTCTGACGAGTTTCTCTAGGTTCCCTAGCACACCGCACGGCACGAAACAGCCAAGAGTACGCGCTACACGTTCCAGGGTCACAACAACCATAGGTGCAGCCTCCGGGGTACACGCGGTTAGCCATTTCGTGCAACGATGTCATATTCTTTGATAAGGACAGCGAAAGTACGCAAGTTATCACAAGAATGCTGAGATATTGGCAAAAGTCGGACCCGGGACGGGACTTGAACCCGCATCTCCCGCACTGCGGCGTTAAACAGCAGTTAACAAAAACTAAAACACCTGATAACATGTAAGAAGCCTTCAGCCTCGCGGTTCACTGCCGATATCGGCTAAACGGCGAAGCCTTCAGCCTCGCGGTTTACTGCCGATATCGGATCGGCTAACCGGCTCATCACGCAGAACGTGCGGGTACTGAAAGGCTATGGCGCACAAAATACCATTGGG